CTTATTTTTATGTATCCTATAGGACTATGTTTCCCAGTCTCCCTTGCAGTTAAGTATGTCATCTGACTGAGTTCAGTAAAAAGAACGTGAGTTGAGTGATGTGTGTCTCATTCAAACCTGGCCCACTAAAACCTTCCACATGTGCTGCTCCATTTCCTTTTCCCTTTCTGATTTACCGGAATGTAGATGACTTTAGGATAGCCTTGGAAGCCACTTGTTGAAGATGGCAGAGCCCCCAACATCGTGCATTTGCTAAACGATTGTATGAAGAAGGACTGCCCCACTGATCTACTCACCAGTCCAGTATTGATACCTAACCAAGAAATAAACTTCAGCTATTTGAGCGATTATACTTTTGGAGATCTATTTGTTACACAATAGCCTAAATATACTACATATGGTAAAAACTTAGTTGGTCAAGAAAAAATTTCAAATTCAGAGCAGCACCAGAAGAAAGGCTGTTATTTTTATTTACCTCTGAAATGAGAGGTAAATTTTGAGTCTTTGAATTGGTGAAATTTCCCTCAATTAGGAAAAGAACAGATGACAGTTGAGATAGAATCTTTAACAGTAGATTTGCAGCTACAGCTATACAGGTTGAAAGGATGCAAGCAAAAAAACTCATTAGAGATTTGACAATCCTGAATAGAATTGTAGAATTTATTAGAGATCAATAAATTTCAAATCTTTTTTTAATGCATTGAAGTATCTCTATGCCAGAGATAATGATGAGATAAATTCTAACTCTGATTCTACTTTTTCCCCTTTAACCTTGTTTTCCCTTCCCAAATAGATTCCCCAGATAGCATTGCGGTTCCTTGGAGACCACATACCCCAGTAGAAATTCCCTTGCCTGGTTAAAAAAACCTGCTTTCTAGCTCTGACTTTAGAGCTGACCTACTATCTGACCTTTGACAAGTTGTTTCTCCTCTCCTGTGAATGAAATTTCCTCAACTATGAAATGAGAGGTAGGAAAAAACTTATATTTAAGATCATTGATAAAAATAACAGAAACCCATTACACACCACTAGAGATTTATCTCCAGGCTAACTCTGATTAATTAGTTAACACTATTTTGATAAGGCTACTTAACCAGCAAAAATGAGCCAATTTGTATTATTATTTCAGCCACAGTGTTTTTTTTAAAGATTTTATTTATTTAAGAGAGAGAATGAGAGACAGAGAGCACGAGAGGGAAGAGGGCAGAGGGAGAAGCAGACCCCCTGCTGAGCAGGGAGCCCGATGCGGGACTCGATCCCGGGACTCCAGGATCATGACCTGAGCCAAAGGCAGTCGCTTAACCAACTGGAGCCACCCAGGCGCCCTCAGCCACAGTTTTTTATCTTCTCAAAGATATCAGAAAAAACACTTCAAAGTCATACTGAAGTCCAGATATAATGCCTTTATTAATATTCCTAATAATTCCAATAAAATTTAAAATGGATAAATTTGTATGACTTGTTTTAAGGCACTGAAGTTTGATATTCTTTTCTAACTACCCTCAAATTGTTAGGCTGAGTCTACCTTTGAACAATTACTAAAACATATAGATATCATGGATTATCAACAGATCTGCTTTCTATGCCAAAACTCTGACCTGCCCAGTATAGGTCCATCAGTTCCAGTACACCCACCTTGAAACCCCAGGTGGAGAAATGTTTTTTCCTGCCATTGTGTTGCACAGGGGTCAAAGATCAAACATCCTGGAGAAATATGCTATTGATATCACTGCAGAATGTTGAATTCAAAATGGGTTTTCCACCAAGATGGGTCTTATTAATGATGTCAGGCACTGTGAAATGTAGAGTGTCAAGTGCAGAAGTGCCAATGAGATGGTGTCAAAGATCCAAGTAAGATGAAAATTAGGAGCACAAAACAAATTAGAAAAGATGGAAATGACCTGAATTCATCCCAGTAACTGGCTGCCCGGGTATGTGCTTGTGTTTTATATGCTCTGGCTTGAGTTTACTTATGGGAGGGAGCCAGATTCATTTGGAGGTACTGGGATTTGAAAGACTAGTTAAAATGAGAAATGCATGGTATTCAGACTTATTTCTCTTCGGAAGATATTTCTGTTCTTTCAGCTTACTTGGATATCTTCCTTAGGAAGTCTCTAAGCACTTTTCAGTTCTCTGAAGTGGTTCAGATTACTCCATAGTTTCTAGTAATATTTAATATAAATTTCACATCAGTGAAATTTAGGTCATATCTACTTAGGCCCAACATGTACTATAAAGTAAGAATGTATCTTGTGGGTAAAATTGGGAGAGGAAGGAACATTTAATGGTAAAATATGACACTAAAAACAAAAATCACTTGATGGAAATCTCTGTTCAGAAGCCTCAACCCGGGGTGATTCTCTAAAAAGCTGAAGAACAGCCCTTTGGGCACCTGATGTCACTCTATCCATAATGCTAGAAACTTACTAAAACCCAGAATCCATTTGGAACGAATTAGGGTCCTGCTTCACTAAAATAATCTCAAGAATCCCTATTTCCCCTCTAAGAAACTACCCTTTGGGATTTTCCTACAACATGTTCCACTTTCAGGCTCTCCCCTACTGAGACTGGTCCTGTTGGGATGCTAGCTACAAGAGCTGCTTTCGATTGGAAGCTGTGATGGAGATTGGTGCAACAGAAATGAGTCTGTGAGTGAGTACCTGGGATATAAAAACAATTTCCAAAAACAACTTAACCTTCTTAGTGCCAAAAATGGGTTGAAAATAGCTGTAAGAACCTCACCTGCCAATCAGCTCCCTCTATATTCAGCCACCCTGCAAAGCATCCTAACTAGGGTGGTTTTCAACTAAGTAAATATGCCCTTAAATCCTTTGTACTCAAAGGTTGTCAAGCCTTTGCAAGGATGGGTGGACCATGAAAAAGAGATCCATGAGCATATTTTTACATTGGCAAGAAAAGCAAAATGTCACTCAACTAAATTTAAGATTGTTCACACACATCTGCTACCACCAGAATGTTATAAACAAAAAAAAAAAAAAGAAGAAGAAGAAGAAAGAAATGTGAATGGTTCAGTCTAAATAGCTCCAAATATATTTCTATTGTTCAGATGACCTATGCTATTTCAACAATGATTGAAAGGCTATCAAAGCAGAAGCCAAAACATGTTTATAGTTTGTCATATAGGAACAATTTTTGGTTAAATAAATACACAGACAACCATATCTCAACTACAAAATGTATGTGCTAGATAGCTGTTATTACAAATACATCACTAAAATGTGTGCAAAAAAATATAAAATGTTACACTTCTGACAATATCATAAGTGAATCATATCCTTGAGAGAGAAACACAGAGAGAAAGATTGCCAGAGAATAAATTTCTGAATCAGGTATATTTCTCCCCATTTCAGGACATAAAGCAGATGAATTTTATGACATGAGCCTCAAATACTCTAAATTAAAATGTTACAGTTTAATCAACCGGAATGATTTGTCCAAAGTCCACTACCAGCAGAAAATGAATGCAGTTTATCATAAAGAAATAATCATAGTTTTAAAATCACAGAAGTATACACAATAGTTATTTCAAGAGTGTACAAAAGGCACTACTCTACATCTGTAACAATCAAAGCAGGATTACAAAATTCGGGGAAATGAAACTAAAAGAACTAGAATCATAAATCTACCTTTCATTCTTTCAAAAACTGATTTCTTTTAAATATTGACACCAATTAAAAAAATCATCAGTGGATCTACTAAACTAAGCAGTCAAAATGTATTAACAAGACCTCCTTAATATAAAATTAAGTTGCATCCTCCAAAATCTTGCACTTCATACACTGTCAAAATGTAAATGCCATTTATCTAAAAATCAAATGCCAAATTACTAAAGAGTTAAGAAGCAATAGCAAATTCACTTGGAAATTATTTATAACAAAAAGAATTAGTTATATTTGAATTAGGGGTTTAGCTAAGTAAATTATATTCACTACTATTTTTTACATATGAGAAGAACCATTGAGGGAAATAAATTCCGTATTACAATAATATAAAAAGATAGTTTTATTAGACTTTAAAATAAATGGTTCATTGTAAAAAAAATGTTCCAAACCTCACTTAACTGACCTGAGAAAAGATAATTATTTGTTATATTACTTTTTTATGACACTATGTTCTCTTAGACAAATTTGAATAGTTAATCAAAATATCTATTGGGGTCATTTTGGTAGCAATTTGAAGTTTCTTTTCTTCATTGGTTATGTGATATAATATCATAGAATTACACCTTTGACAGTCTTAAGAAGGGTACTAAAAGACATTTTTTGAATAAACCATTTCTTTAATTTCTGGTTTGAACAATTAAATGGGACTATTTTGAAACTAATAAAATATTTTCAGTGATGCCAAAAGTATGTCTTTAGTGCCCTATTATCTAGTCATTTTATAAAAGGATTTGTCCTTTCCACTTACTATAGGTTTTTACTGTATATATTTTATACCAGTAAATTTAAAATTTTCATGTTATCAAATATCCCCTATATGTCCCAACATTAGAATATTTAGACATTTGCTCTTTTTGATAAATGAAAGTATAACCTGCAATTGAAAAATTTAAAACTGTCCTTCTGAACACAAATCAGAAACTATTTTTCAAGAAGAGTTTTTACAAATGACAACAAATTGCACGGTTGGAATTATAATTGTGTAGATAAAAATGCTATTTCCAAAGTAATTGTTTTGTCCAACTGCAATGCAATTAATTTATGGCGAATTAAAACAAAAACTTAGATTCTCAAAATTCATAGCACCAAACATTCACATACCAACTGTTGCAATGAGAAAGTAATTTTTCAAATTAATATATTAACACTTCCTAATATAGTATCTTTAAGTGATTAATACTGAATTTGAAATGCAATGAAAGCCATCACTTTTTATAGCTAAATTTAGCATAGCTCGGCTAGACGTCAGAGTTTCCTTTCCATGTATGCAAAAATATGATACACGTAAAAAAGATAACAGACATTTGGAAAACTTACACTTTCAGATTGCTTGCTCTGGTCACAGTCCCACATCGTCGTCCCACATTGCCCAGACCTCTCCATGGTGCTGAAGAGCTACCCTTGCCCATTTGAGAGGAAAGAGTTATTTATTCGAACTGGCTTTGAAAGAAATCCATAAAGAGTTGCCTGTGTTAGCAAGTAAAGTTATCTGAAGAATTTCTGTAACACATACTACAAAGGAGATGCTTTGCCCTTCAGTTATCAACCACAATGCTCAGATGGCTCAAAGAAGATTTTGGAGCAGAAATCTTCAAGTATTGACAAAAAAGAGAGAGAGTTCTTTGGGAAATGAAGTTTGCTGATTTTCTTCGGTGTTCTTCAGATTGAAAATACACACACACACACACACACACAATACAAGGCTATCCAGACAACAGAGGATTCCATAAAAGTTCTTGATCTTAATGCAGAAAACAAGCTCCCATTACTCCAAAGCATCCAATTCACTTCATCCTATCATTGCATCTACTTTTTTGATAAAAATAGTAAAATGAAATGAAGCTCAGAATTCAACAAGGCACTGCACACACTATGTAAACAGGTATGCCTTACTGTAGCTTTAGACTCTGTCTGCTGAAGATTATCACAGAAGAAATCAGGCTCTTGTGGCTTTCACAGATTATCTCCTTCTGAAGCTGAAACGTATAAAGAGCCACATGACACCCAATGATGTCATCTCTAAAGCAGGTCACAGTTGCTGCTGTATATAGATGAAGTCCTTCTAGTGAAGTGTTTGGCATAGTGATTTTCTTGAAAATCTACTTGCATTAAATAGCATGGTCTTCTATCAATATACTTAACCCTATCAAAATACTGCCATGAAGAGAAAATCAATTTATTGCTCACATGTGAAGCAGCGTGTCTGTTTAACTTAAAATCAGCTTCTGGTGCTGTTTTGGAAATGAATAATTGTAATTAACTCAGTGTATATAGTGAAGAAGGAGCTGTTATGAGAACTAGAGGAACTGTAGAGACATAGAATCTACTCCTAAAAAATCTTTACAGAATTTTTAGCAAGCTAAAAAAAAAACTTATTCTTTTTAAAATCAATCCATGAAAATTGCAAAATAAAAATTAAGGCAACTGTCTTCAACTTCTAACAACATTTTATGCAATGAAAAATTTTTTAAGATTTTATTTATTTATTTGAGAGAGAGAGAGAGCAGAGCGAGCAAGAGAGAGCACAAGGTGGGGGGGTAGAGGGAGAAGCAGACTCCCTGCTGAGCAGGGAGCCTGATGTGAGGCTCGATCCTAGGATCCCGGGATCATGACCTGAGCTGAAGGCAGACACTTAACCGACTGAGCCACCCAAGCGTCCCTATGCAATGAAATTTTTTAAATGTTTCAAAGACATAAAAAAATCGTACTGGAAGGATCTGAGTATGTTTTCAAATGTTGGTAGAAAACTTTAACTTACTACTTTTAGATATTTTTCAGCTCTGAGTAAAGCAACAATTAAAATTTTAACTATACCTCATCTGTATATGTAACTGGTGTTAGTAAACATAGATACTATTTTAAAGAATGTATAATAATGAGAAATGCCCATTTCCATTCTGTGTAATGTATTTCTTTTCTCTTTCTCAACTATGTAGTCACACATCACACTTGAGGATTTTTAGTCAGAGTTGACATTCCCGTCAGCTAATAGTTAAATAATCAATACCCTTTCATGCCAACTAAATAATCTTCACAACCAAAGTGAAGAATAATTTAAAACTAATCAGAGTTTATTGAATGTATCCCCCTTTAATAAAAAACAAACTGGATCAAACAACAGAAACCTTTCTGGAAGAGCATAGTATATATTGTCACATTTTTGAGAAAGAACCGTAAGTCTGGAGAAGAGAAAATGGAATTTTCTACACAACCAGTGCCACTGGGGAAATTCCATTAAAACAATAGTGATTGTTTTGGTATCAAATCAGGAAACATTTGCTTCAGCACCTCCCCAAGGTGTATCTATGCCATGCTAAAACACTGAAATAAAAATTGGAAGAAATATTGATCACCTGTGTGCTCTGTTATTGTAAGTTTACTAAATAAAATTTATTACTTTTTTGCAATTCCTATAACAGTGCTTTTTATACTATAATGATGAGGATTACATTTAAAAAAATTTTTTAAAATACAGAATCTCAGGCCTCTTCTCAGATATTCTGATGCAATAGATCTGCTGTGGTCCTGAAATCTATATATATATTTTAAAATTCCCAAAGTAATTCTTATTTGGAAAACATTGCAATAATTAATATAGTACAATGTATACAACCTTATAAAAATCAAAATATGTAAAAAAATAAAAGGCCAAGTTGTTGCTACATGAAGCAGCCAATGTTGAGGGCTCCCTTCTTCTCATGTCCTCAGGCTTCCATGAGGAAGAACTTTCCTAAATACTCCCACACTTCAATCCTCTCCATGAAGGTGGAATAAGTAACCCTGATTGGAGGATTCGGCAAAGGGACTGGGCAGCCCAGTATCATTCTCTCTGCATCTTTCTATGGGATCCATCTCCCTGCACAAGTTCTGTGGGTGAAGCTGGCAGTTTTCAGTGCTCCCCAGGATTGGTAGGTTTCCCTACAAAGGTCAGTAGTAGGGAGCTCAGTGGTGCCACAAGTCAGAGTTACACCCTCAAATCCAGCTTTGACAGTAAATAAAGATGAGATTTTGTTATCACTCTTCCTAAATCTCTTGCCTTTCAAAATAAGTTCCTAAATCAAGATGGGGAAAAGGAGTTATTTATTGGCTTCCTAAAACTACATCTCCAACACTGTTACATTGTTAACTAGGCTTGTCCTTTTTATTTAAACTCTACCAGCCAGCTACTGTAACAGGTTTTACATGTGAAGTAACTTAATAATATTTGTATTTGCATAATACAGTTCTATATTAAAGGCCTATAAAAAGGAGTGTAAAAATTTCATTGGAAGTTTTCAAAATGCATTGTTCAACTCCTATTAATTTTATTATTGAGCCACTTAGAAATTCCAGCTCTTGGAATTTTTCTTCAGTAAGTACTAATTCTAGAACAGCATTTCCTGAAGTGTTGCATGGATTAATAGTCCAATAAGATGTGACTCTTATTGGGATTCATGGTCAAAGAAGTTTGGAAAACATGAAAAATAGTACTGCCCTCCCCCACAAATTCAAAATGTGTATTAGGTTAGGAAGGCTCTAAGAGGTCCTGATATAAATAATTTGGCTTATTTCACCCTTCCCCCAATTAACATCCATCAATATCCAATGAAACTAAAATTCCAGGTACCACAATATGGGAAATTCTGCTCTGGAAGATATTTCAGCAGTCAGATTTTTATTAAAAATAATATCTAAAACCTTCTATACAACTAATCAATAAAATGTTATTATCTCCTATAAGTTACCAGTGCATCTGGGACAAGAATTGCCAACCATGACTGGGGAATTATGTAAATTCTGCAAGGGCAGAGGTTGAGTGTATTTGGGTGATCATATCACCAGTGCTTGGCAAAGGCCAGCACACAGTAGTGTTGAATGAGTGAACAGATGATGCAGACCTAATCTAGGGATGTGAATAACTACCCCCTCCCCAGTGATGTCTTATTTACAAAAAGAAAGAAAGTCCCAAAGAGCCTTAGGCCAATGAGGTTCTAGAATAAAAGGAATACAATAGTAGATCTTACTCCAGGGCTACCACATCCAACTTCTCCTTGGATCCTAAAGCATCTTTCATACTCACCCAATGAGTGAAATACTGATTTGTAATTCTGAAACTGGATTTTATAACAGAGGATGCACTTTGAGTCTCAACAAGGGGATTTGACACTCTAGCTCACCAGAGCTGCAGAATAAGGACAGCATCTACATGAGGACAAATGCTGAGAATGGACTTGAGGTAAAATAGAAGGCAAACAAGTTCCTTCTCAACTCTGTTTATCAAAAGTGAGATGCTTAATGCCTAGGTTTTTGCATCTACACCTAAAGGTCAATAACTTTGAGACTGCTAAAGAGGATTGATATTAGTATGGTTGAGTGAGTCTGTTATCAAACAATGAATTGTAAATTTTGCATTATCATTCTGAACCCAGAAAATGATCAGTATTAGCAGTCCTCAAAAAAAAATTTTAATCCCCAAACTGAAACAACATACTTATTTTTAAACCTATTGAGAAAAATGTCCTCAAATCCTTAAGTTAAAAGGACCATTTGGAAAAAGAATCTGTAATATCAACCAATATTCAAAGATATAAAAAGGAGTGTTTTGGCAGAAAGATACCAAATATTTTATATAAGAATATATTAATTCAAACTGTCATATATGATTATATATCATATAATGTAATTTCTAAAACTTTGGGGAAAAATTTGTTCTCTAAGACTCTAGTTTGAAGAAAAGAGAATTACATCTACTTTTATGTAAATACCAAGAAGTCTTCTCTTTTTACATGTGATTACTACAGTCTCTGAACCAAAGTTTGGGATGAATAGACTGACAATTTGTGCTATTTAGGGGTCTGAGAAGCAGGATGGAAGATAGAGTTTGGGCACTGAACATTAAAATTCATGGGACCTAAGTTTATAACAACAGCTGGGCATAATACTGTAACTTGTCCCTGACCTGGAAAATCTAGGTTATTAAATTACTAAGTAGCACAAGGCTTACTCTCTAAAATTTCACAGCTTTTAAGACTGCACTGGGAAAAGTCCCAGGAAATCTTCTTTGAGGGTCTGAGTACCCCCTCCAAAACAAGTGTGACTTTGTAAGAAGCCTTTATCCTTTTAGTCCCAAGATTTTTCGTGATGTATTTAAAGCCTGGAAGTTGCAAATCTCAAAATGGGCAATAAAACTTGAGGGTAAGAAAGTAGTTTGAATGTAGGTGTACATGTCGTGTTTGGCAGACAGAAGCGGTACTGGCTTTTGGTAGCATATTGGGAAGGTGTGGTGGGTCACCTGGCTGCCTGTTGCTAACTATCCAGTAACCCTTGCTAAAAGCTAGGGCAACCCAAGCAGCCCCAACCATATAAGAGCTCCATGGACTTCTCTCCAGGACAACTGAAGTAATGGGGTCTTTAGCTGGCCCAGACCACTGATCTTTGAACCTGCTCAGAACTGAAATTCTTCCTGACCAGTTGTGAAGTAAGGCCTTGTGGCTGGAGTTGTGCAACTGTTGGAAGGGTGCTTTTGCATTGACCTGCCTGAAGGTGAGGCCACATAACTCTGTTCACCCCAACATGCTGCAGATCCCCCCATTTCTTTTTTTCCCAAATCTGAAGGGAGCAGAGTGACCTAAGATTGCTTTTACTGTGTATATGGGTATGGTCTCTCAGAAGAGGCCTAGTCACTGAGAAGCAAAAATACTTTCACCTGTTTTTACCCTTGGACCTTGAAAATTAGTCTTTAAAAGAAGCAACACTAAAACAAATACTTGATGTATTACTTTGTAATGTACAGCTCCAATCTCAGAACAGACATACATATATTCTGGATATATATATTCTAAGACACGATTTGGTTCTCATGGATTCATGAATCAGAAGCAGACAGTGTGCCCCTCAATAGGAAGAGAGTTAAAAATTCCATTTCTGCTCTTCACAAGCTTTGCAGAGTGTTTTGAACACATGGAGTATTTTCAAGAGCAGATACAGAATCCACTAACATTTATTGAGAGCCTTCAGGGTCCCACACTCCGTGCTACGTTTTACATAGGTAGTGCCATTTAACCTTCACAGCAATATCAATCCATCTCTAAGGTGCGTGTTACTTCCAGTTTGCAGATGAAGTATGGTCTCTCAAGTGGTACATCTTAGACTCACAAAAAATGTGGCAGAGCTACTATTAAGTCATGTCCTCTTTACTAAACCAGGGCTTCATTCCATGAGCCACGGAGCCCCCTACAGGCCACACCATAATAATATGGGAACCCGTGGGAATAAGTAGGCATGGCCAGGAAGATAGAACCAGTTAGAGACAAATGGGATTGAAAAAGTCTCCAGACAATCCAAAGATTTTTCTGAATTTATCTGAAGGGTATGCTAATGATTTGTGAAAAGGGTACCAAGTCATTTAGAATGTACCATTTTATAGTGATATTCTATTAGACAAATTACAGATTCTTCAGAGCTGGGAACTAAAAGAACAAGTACTTGGTCATATGAAATTGATTAATAAACAATACACAAATCATTTTCCACTATTGTCCTCCATGCAATAACTAATATTTTTATGACAAAAAAGTTCTTTTTTCTCACTTTGATACCCACAAGCTCCATGTCACAATAACTTGCTACTCAAAATTGCTATTTCTAAAATAGATTTTTCTGTTATCTCATGATACATTGTGGTATAAGGACAGTTAATATGCAAATTGCTAACATAATTTCATATATATTTTCCCTCCTGTTGCTCTTTAATTTGGCACTGAGCAGCTGAGGTCTGAAGTTTTAATCAGAGCATTGAACGAGGCAATTTATAAGATCAAATGAGGATTCTTTTTTCAATTATTTCATTCACTGTTTATACCTACTAAATTGTGAAACAGTCTTAGAAATGCATTGATGCATACATTATTTCTTCCTCTGCTTGACTATGTCTAAATGCAGGCTTATTTTCAAGTGGTATAATATAGTAGAATAGTGCAGCATGATGGCTCCAGCTCAATGAGTAACTCAAGGCAAGTTAGTTATCTCTTTAGGTCTCATTTTCATTATCTGTAAAATGGAGATAATAATATACCTCTTACATATGGTCAGTGAGAGGATTTAGTGAAATAATCCACGGAAAGCCATTAGCAAGATGCCTGTCACATAACAAGTACTCAGCTCTTATTAAGATAATGATTATGAGATCTCATACTGAAACATTACTGTTCTTATATATTTTAGAGCACGAATATTCTCAGAACTATATTAACCATTATGCTTAGCCAAAAGAGAGCAAAAGCATGCAAGAGCATCATTCTCAGCTCAGCACAGGGACTTAGCCAAGGTGGGCCAGGGCTCATCCTTATCCCCTCCATAAACCTGAGGTCTATTTGTCAGAGAGTAGTAACACTAAGTCTTCCTATTTGGAACTCCCTGAGAATATGTATGAACCCAGTGGGTCTGGTAGGCTGATCAAAGTAGAGCAGAGTCATTTTCCTTTCATGGGGCTGTGACCACCAAAAGATGTAAGAATGAATCTTCTGAAAGAGGTCCCAAACAAAGTGATGATCATGGGAAATAGAACAGCCTTAACTAGATATACCAGCTCCAAACAACAAAGCATAAAGTTTCTAAAAATTATGAATTGTATATTTTACCCGCCTGACAAACTAGAGACTTGGGGATGTTTCAGCAACTTATATTTTCATATTTTATTTTACATATTTAGTGTCATGTTACTGCCACCATCAATGCCAAAGTTGTTGTTATAATTAATAACCTCTACTAGATTTCTGGGCAGGGTCTGCTTGCTTTCTGAAGCTAATTCCAATAATGTTTTTTGAAAATGTTTTGACTCTCACTGTTTATAGGCAATCAGGAATGAGCCAGACTTCCACACAATGAAAAGAGTTATCCTGGTCCCATGAGCACAGAGATAAGGCATGATGATACAGTGGTGGAGCAGGATGCCACTCCCAATTCATTCTGAGACACCTTATAGGAAACCAAATTGCTGGGGACATTTGAGAGAGGAGATCTGTTCTACTAAGAAACATCAGGGGACCTGGAGGCCGGGCTAAATTAAATAAAGTAGAACTGTTAGCAAAACTGTGCAAAAGGTATTGCACATCACATTTATATGATGATCCATGGGGGAAGAACGTGCATTTATGCACAAAAATACTTAAGGTGCTAGAATCTAAGTGGTATGGCAAGGTAAATATAAAACAAAGATAGATTATTCCAGAATTTCAATACAGTCAAAAGGTTAACCACCCTAAAGCAACACTAAAACCATCATATGTCACTGGACACAGCAATGGTTGATACTGTCAGGAACTGGGGCTATGAGAAAATACAAAGACAGTAAATCCAAACTTTTAACTCATGGGCGGAATGATTTCTGAGACTCAGTTTCCATCATTCAAATAAAATATTCAGTCACTTAATTTCTATTAAATTAATTCTATTGTCATTCACGGCAAAGGCATCCTAAACACTTAATTTTCATATTATTTTTGACTTGCAAATCATGAGATAAATACACACTTAAGCAACAGACCTTTTCCAATATGGCTCATCAGCACCCTCTAGTGATCATAAGGCCAGTTCAGACAAGTCATTTCCCCCGCAAAAAAAATTGTTTTAAAAAGGCACACAGATTCACTGAGTATTCAATTTCTGCTGTTCGCTAAAAATAGATCTTCTGCCATTGTTATTTGCTCTCAAGTTACTGCTCTCTCTTTAGAATCCATAACAGATAAAACTGTTTATTAAAGAACATGCAATGCAATCATGTGAAAATATGTCAAAGCAACCTTTGTTTGATCCCAATGTGAATACATTATTTTGGCTGCTGGGGAGCCCTTTAACCACTGAATAAAAATGATTACAAAGGAGTCAAGAAACATGTTTTTTTGAAAATAATAACACTTGTATAGTTACTTCATTTCTCTTCCTAACTTCTTTCTGTGTATTCCAGTGACTATCATACATGATCACAATGGCCATATTCACAACACTCTGTATTACAGTTACCCGATCACTTATTTCCTACCACATTTGGTATATGTTGTTTTTGTTGTTGTTGTTGTTGTTTAAATAAAGACTTTCAGCAGATGTTCCCATTCCTTCACTGTGTACCAGGGTTCTTAAACAGGTGGCCTCTGGGATAATTGTGATCTGCAGGCATGGTCTAGTTGCATTTTAAATTTTCTTACTAGCTGCCAACATTTAAAAATCTGAATTTCTGGCATCCCTTAAGAGAAGAAACAACATTTGGCAGTGTCTGTCTGTCCAGCATCCCTGCATAGCAACATATCTGGGATGCAAGTGGGGCTACCCCTTTAGGTAAGGCCTGTGTTCTTCAGTAGCCAGTCACAGCTTAGCCCACATCAGCCACAACGGTTTCTTACCTGGCCCCTGTAGGCATTTGAGTTGCAACTCCTGAGTTTGTGACCCCTTCAAAGTCTTCCTGTAAAAGTTCTCTTTATAATCCTATAACCAAACTAATCTTCTATCACATTAGCACAACAAAACTCTATCAGAGGCACAGACTAAAGGGAACACACTGTTATAAATAAAAGGAAAAGGATATTCTTAGTAATAGAGGAATGCAAACACACAAATGAGTAGTTTAGGTTGAGGTCAAATACAATCGATTCTCTCAGACTTGATGAAGTACACTTTATGCTTATGAATCATGTCTTCATTCTCAGATGACAAAACACTCACCATGGGTTCAAATATAGCAGTAAGCAATGTAGATGCACCTAACAACAAACCACCTGCTCACATCTCAACATTTCCTTCTTGGAACCCAAGACCTGGTGATCAAATGAGCGGCCCATCAGGCCACAAAGAGGGAACATGGCACTCACGGGTGTGCTGCTGTCTGAGAAGGTGTTCATGCTGACAGAACTGCTCAGCTTCTCCGAGGACACAGAGGGTGGGGATGGGCTCCTCTTCTCCAGGGGGTCCTGCCTCTGCAGGTACTCACGCCACGCTCTCTGAATGCTGGAAAAACAAAACAAAACAGCACGTGCACTGTCACTACCTGGTCACAGCCCACAGACTCAGAAAAGCACAAGGAGTCTGAAGAAATTGGCTTTGGAGACAGGGAAAATGTAGCACATAGAATGTGACACAGGAAATCAGAAGACCTGTACCGGTTCTCTGTTTTACTGATTTGACAGTCACAGACTAAGCCAAATCATCTTAGTCAGAAAAAGTCATCAAAGTGAAACTGGCTTGCACATGTAAATGTACTTTGATTTATGGGAGGTAAAATCTTTCAATTTCTCATCCTATATTTCAAATGAAAATAATAAACAGGTTGACATATCACTTATTCATGCACTAATATAGCCTTGTTGAGGGACTCTTCTGAGCCAAGGTCAGCCTTAGGTGCTGGACAGTGACTGCAACGCAGCTCTAGAGGGTGCTATATGCACAGACCTTAAGGCCAAGAAAATCCCATGATGCTCTATAGTGTAGTCTACTTGGCCAAACACAGTGGCCCTGCTCTGGGGACAAGACAGTCAAGAGCCCTGTGGTCATGAATTTTTACATACTGTGGAAGGAAATGGATAATATATGATAAGTAAATAAAGGAATGGACAGAGAGGACAGAATATCTGAAAGTTATATAAACTATTCAAAAAACTAAAATAACACATTAGATTAGGTGACTATTTGAAATTTTACCCAAGGAAGCTTTTTTATTTCCTGTGATTAGTATCAAAACAAAGTCATCTGCTTCGAATAATAGAAAGCTCTTCTTTGTGAAAGCTAAGTAATTTTTTTCCACCCGGACTGGTTTCTAATCTTTGAGATTAACGTCTAGTTTTTCACAGTGATCAGTGAACCTGGAAATTAACCAAACATGAAGACCAATTTTTAAGAATCAGCCTTTTAAAATAGTTTTAAATAGTTGCATTAATTCCATTACTATCTCTTCTAGAGTCCTGGAAGTATCTGATCTTCTATAATTCTTCCCACACACAATTAAGGCAATTAAAGTTGTTTCTCTATAAACAAACTTATTTATTTTCACTTGGCTAGAATGGTTCAAAGACGATTAATTTCAGTAGTCAGAGGATAGAAAGGCCACAAAAATGCTACCATGTTACTAAATTTATACGTGTCCCCTAATTTATTAAGGCTCTGAATTATAATGCTCAAGGTAAAGTCCAAAAGCTGCAGTTAAACAATACCTTTGGGTAAGAGGCCAATTTCCCCTGAAGCTATGAAACATAAGCTTCAGGGGCCCTTATAGGCCAGGAGTTTCTTCTAAGATCCTATGAGCGGCTCTTCATGGTTTGTATAAAATTGCAAAAGTAGAGACCTTCTAGGGTTTTTTTTTTAAGAGGGCTCCAAATTATATATACACTTCAGACCCTATTAAGGCAGGATGTGGCCCTGCTTTGGATTATATGTGGTCACTGTTTTATTATACAAGGCTTGCTCCAAAAGATATCCTTATTCATTTACTTTTATTTGGTTTAAAGATTTTAAACGGAATCTCAAAGAAGGTTCTGTAAGAGTTTGTTAGTCTTGTTGCTTCTTCAGGGACCCATTTTATTAGGGAGTAGCAGACTTTTGGAAATTGTGAATAATTTCTACATCATCTGAAGTGCTTAGGGTCTTCCACAGTCCTGCTAACAAGTTCTGCCACTGGAGGGCACCTAAAGGCTGTAAACCTGCCCATCAAGGGCTTAAAAAAAAGTGACATTGTAAAGGCTATTTAAAAAATATAAAACAGTAACAAGGCATGGAATACCCACACGTTTATACTGATGTGTTCCTCTCTCTCTCTTTCTCTCTCTCTCTCTCTCTCTTGCTTGCTCATAGTCTTGATTATTCAGAAAATATAGAAAGAAAATGTAGTAGCCGTTTGAGAGTTTACATTTTAGTTTATTGAACACCAGGGGGCAGTGTGACACCTTTAAAGAACCAAACAAATAATGCCAGGCAAAACTGGAGTGAGATCAACAAAGGTGAATTTTCACGTAAAGCATCCCCTTCCCCTTCCTGGTTCTATGGTGCCTGGAAAGTGACTTATCAGTTTTCTTAAGTCAGAGACTAAGAAGGCAACATTCCTTTCTTCCAGGTGGGTGGATATCCTCTTTTAGTTGACAGAGAATGCGACAAAATTAAATACCTTTAAAATGTGTATTAAAATCACCTATAAGCCTCCTCCCTCCTTAATACAAAAGCTATTTTAATTTTTGAATACTTACCTTACTATCCTTGTCCACATATGTGGAAACAATTTTACTTAGTTGAAAGCATATTATACTATATTTTATTCTTTTTTAACTCAGAAGTTAAAAATGAGAGGCCAGTCACTTCACTATTATCTAAATTGCTACATTGGATATTTTTTAAACGGTGGAATCATGCTATTAGTACTTTCTGAATCATAGGAAACTATTTACATCACACACTGCTTACTCCCATTTGACCACTTTGTAGATTAAATTGTTCTATAATTAGCTCTCTGAATACAATCTCCAAATACTATTTTACCGAAAGAGGGAATTAAAACAAAATGTAGAAGCACCTCATCCCTCAGTCATGGAAAATCACTTTTCAGCCTTCTTATCCCAGCTGTACCACAATTCCTACTCACAAGTCTCCTTTAAGGCTGCAGGGTAAGTCCTGAACACCAACTACCTTGACATTTTTATTTCTAAAACTAAGCCTTGCTATCAATACAATTCTTTAAAGGCTGGTTGCAGTAAAGGAACACATTGTGTGTGTTCCTATATTTTGAATTATAAATATAGAGGCTTATTTCAAAGTAGATGAGAAATACATTTTTCAATAATTTTTTTGCTTGTCCAGCTCCTGTTTGTCTTCCATATCAGGGATGGTGTCATCGCCTGCCTCTGCCATCTCTCTATACATCCCCATTTGTTTCACAGTGCCAGTGGCTCCCTCCTGCACTCACAGCCACTTGGGAACTTACAGCTGGTGCAGTCCTGGTTGTCACTGGCTGTCCTTACCTACAAGGTATCCTTGCCTAGAAGACAGAACTCTGCGAGCTGTGATGCTTAGAGGAGGTTCCAGGGAGTCCTGGTGCTTTAAGTAGCCTTGAAGGATGGAGGGGATTTAGATTGATAAGAAGGAGGAGGAAAGGCCTTTGGGCAAAGCCTCGGAGGTGAGGGTACCAGGCAGAAGGCAGGAGGTTCCCAGAGGAAAGTGGTAGGGCATGAGGCTGTGAAGACTGGAGAAGCATCCCAGGTGTCTCCAAGGGCGAGGCTGGGGGCAGACTGGGCAGTACCTGCCCCTTGGGAGGAGGAACCCCATCTTGGCACAGTTGACTGTTGCCAGATCTTACTACTTATCAAGAACAGTCAGAAATCTGGTTCTTATTTGAAAGCTACTAGTTTTTAAATGTTACCAAATAATTTTTACAACTTCAAAATACATTATTACCCAAGTAGGCTAAATCTGGGGATGGGAAAAAAGGATACCATCAAAGAAGACAGAAGTCTGAGTCTCTTGGGAGGTAACATCTAGTTACATATAGCTCTTTTTATGTGTATTCTCCCATTCAATCCTTACCACAAGTGGAGTGTGAGGAAGGCACTATTACCATCATAATGGTAGTTTTTGCCTGCCTAACATTAATTTTTCTTTCACTTTGTTCCAGCACTCACCTTTCACTGGGGGCCCACCAGCCCATGGCCACAATGTTGGGAGAGCCCACACGAGAATGGAGCAGAGCTTACAGAAGAAGGAGGACAGAGATGTCTGATGATGCTTGAATACCTGGGTCTATATATGCTTGAAGCACATTAGCCCCCGGATGTTTCTGTTAGGTGATCCAATACAATCTCTTTCTAATACATAAGTTAGTTTGAGCTGAGTTTCTTTCACTCACAACCAGGAGTCCTCGACAAGTTTCAGGAAACAAGATGGGAGCTAGCTGACAGACCCGACATTTGGACCGGATCCCCTGTCTTTCCATTACATTGTGCTCCCCCCTCATGGTTCAGCAAAAGGCAGAAAGGGAGAGGAAATCAAGGTGATGGATTTGGCGTGTCACATACTGACTTTGAGTAGATAAACAGAACCCCTATTTGTTTAAGCCTGTTTAATTTTCTATGTGTGACTAAAAGCTACCCTAACAGATAAGCCATGTTTTCATTATTTGGTGTCTGCCTCAACCCTGTATCCTGTCACAAACCTGCCCAAAGGCCAGCGAAGGGCCACTGCATGCAACAGGCAGGTTTTCCGTAGCATTTGCCTGTATCTCTAAGCCTGCTTCCACTCCATTCCAGTTTCTGCCTAGTTTGTAACTCCTGACTTCATTTGATTGTTGGTACTTCCTAAGCATCATGGACTTATGCCCTTCTGGATCTTTCTGCAGGTTCCTTCACCAACACCTATGACCACCTTGATGGTCAGGAACTCCCAAATCCCTCACAGATGGAATTTGGGCAACTTAGGCCTTTTCTCTAGAACACTCTTTCTGAAGATTGAGAAAGCACTTTAGAAATAAGGCACACAGAAGCTACTTAGTCTGTGGAAGAGACCAGTGGCTCTCTGAGATATTAACCATGCAAAAAGAGTGTCAGATTAGGCTAATCCAGGTAACTCTTTTCCAAGAAGTCTTCTTCCTCCACTAGACTGTGAATCCCTTGAGGGCAGTGTCCATCATATTGCCACAGTTCTAGAAATATGGTTAGTAGGTGATCAACAAATATATTCTCCTAATATTGTAGTCCAGAAATAACTCAATAAATCCTCAAAGAAGAAAAAGTTTTACCTCATGAGGAAGTGTGCTTAGAAACTAAACGTGTTTATTATATTCCTCAGCTCTGTGACCTCTGTTTGGAACTTTCTTTTATTTTCCATCTCTTTACTGAAGTTCTCACTGTGCTCACCCATTCTCCTCCCAAGTTCAATGAGTACTTTCATGAGCATTAAATTCTTTATTATATAAATTACTTATCTCTGTTTCATTAAAGTTTTCTTTTTTGTTGGTTTTGTTTTTTTTCCTGAAG